AAGGAAAGATAACAGGATATTACTCGTGTTCAAAACATGGAGGACGTTGTAGTACTCCTACTCTGAGGGATCGCTGAATTTCCCACATCCCCCAATCACGAACAGGTTGTCACCGATGAGAGACGCGCTATGTCCTTCTCTCAGAGCAGGAACATCACCAAAAACGTCGGGTTTCCCCCAGGTGTTGGTAGCTGCATCGGATGATAAGAACGAGAAAAAAAAAATGATAGAACTCGGAGCTTACCATTATCCAAAACAAAGAGATCGTCGAGCGGGCTGGTTCCATCGGTACCACCAAACACATAGAGCTTAGACCCGACGGCCGTGGAGCTGTGGCTGTCCTGAGGAGAAGGGTGCATTCCTTTCATCACAGGCTTGCTCCAGGTGTACATCCCTGCGCGATCCCACCAAAAACATGATCAAAACCATTTTTTCCGGAAAACCCAGAAGAGGAAACTTATACCAAAGTCGAAGACGTGCACATCATTGGTCTGGCACTCGTCCGGGCCGTAGCCACTGAAGTGAACCGTGGGCGAAAATTTCTTTTTTTTTCTCTTGGTTCCAGCCTCGAGCACCTGAAAAACCTTGATTCTAGTTGTGGTTCCAGCCTCGAGAACCTGGAACAAACAGGGACTTGAGAGACTCGAAAAAAGATTGTCATTTTGCTGCGCGTGGCCATTAACCACGGTTTCCTGAGCTTTTGAACCGGTAGCAGCTTCAGATCTTCACGTACAGCTGACTGTAGCTCTGAGGTGCTCTGCAATGAAGACCTCATCAAACACACACACACAGAGAGGCAGAGAGAGACAGGGAGAGAGAGAGAGAGAGAGAGTACCTTCCCGCAAGCGATGATCAATGCTCTCTCCTCGTGCTCATGCGCCCTAAAAGACAATTGAAATTTTTTATGATCCCAAAAGTCACGACTCCCCATTGTTTAATCTCAGCCGTTAGATTTTGGCATATGCCCAGAATAAGTGTCGCCAGTATATGCTATTATTATACGGGCTCTTTCGTTTAAATATATGAGTACTAGCAGAGACCCCAGCTCCGCTGGGAAATATAGCATACCTAAAATAAATACATCTTCTATTTTAATTTTACAATGTTAGAATTTTTGATTGTATACAAGGTTAAATTTATCTTAATTTTGCTACTCTTCACCTCTAAAGAAATGCAGAATAATGCAAATAGATAAAAAATGCAAGTTTTGGAAAAGATAAGATCATTTTTCATCATCATTAAATTTAAATTTGAATTTTTTTATTGCCTTTATAAAAAGATACAAAACCCTAAACACGTCTACAAGATTGATGCCATGATCTAAAAGCAATTGATTTTTCACAAAACCAAAGAATTATATACTGCCAAAAAAATAGGTTTGGGGAAATTATTTTTTGATTACATACTGAGCTTTATTTATTTTTTTATCTGAACTATAATGCTGCCTTTAACTTTCATAGTCTAATAAAGAAATAAAGAATTTCTATTATGTGTCTCAATTTATATTTACAAATAAACATAAATAAATCTATCTAGATATTCACACTACATTAGAGGTGTTTGAAAAGAGGTACATCCAAAGATAATAACTATATTCGAGATATAATTGTATTAAGACAAATCTCTACTAATGCTTTATAACAAAACTATACATTCCAATTTATAAAAACATTACTATTGAATGATTCAACACTACTTACTCTTCAGCAATTATATAAAGGAGAATATGATTGCAGATTAATATATTATATAAAAATATTAATGTTTTAAATATAAACATGGAGATAACATTAATATGTACATATTAAAATTATTTTTTAAAAATCTATTAGCATTATTGTGCATTTCTTTAGAGGTGAAGAGTAGCAAAATTAAGATAAATTTAACCTTGTATACAATTAAAATTTCTAACATTGTATAATTAGAAAAGAAGATGTATTTATCTTAGGTATGCTATATCTCCCAGTGGAGCTGGGGTCTGTTAATTCTTGAAGTGTTATTACAATTATTTAGTAAACCTGACCAATACATTAGTGACACTACTTAATATAATCAAATTTCTAGAAATTATTTTGATACACAATTGTATACTCATGTTTATTAGATGTCATTACTTTTAATTTTACCTGGATATTTAATTTTGCTATTTCTTTTTCCTTTAACTCTTCATCTTTGATGTGCTAAAAGTTTTTCTGAAAACCTTATTATTATAAATAACTCTTCCAGAGAGTAATTGCAAGAGGTATATATATATAAAACAAAATGATAACATTAACATTATATATATATATATAATTTTATTATTTTGTTTTATTATTATCATGGTATAATAAAATAGTGCTTATTATTGACATTATTACCATTTTCTGAACACTATAATGGTGAATGATATAATGGATTTTCTTTGCTTACCAGAAGAAGTAAATCTGTATTGTCATAGAAGTGTTAGAATGTCATTATGTGTGACAAATTTCCATTTTTTATTACTGCTCTAATCCCAATTTCCAATGCATGCCATTAATATTATCGCATTAGTAATAGAACTATTCAGTATCTACATTATCAATAATTAAAAAGCTGTATTATTTGAATTTATCTGGATTTTTGTGATATTTTTTAATATCATCATTTAAATTAATCAGGGGAGGACCCTAGCATAAATTCTAACTTTTTTTTCTTAAACCTATCTGCTATTTGTAAGATATGTTGTTTCTCCTTTTTCTCAATCTATTTTTAATTTTTATTGTGCTCATTGCATAGCCCATCACTTGATAAGACTTAACACCCAAGGAACTTCATGTGCTTGGATGTATCAGCAAGGACTCCTTAGCTTATGGAACTGCAGAAGGTAGCTCAAGTTTTTCTTTCATATCCAAGAAGAAGCTAACAAAGCTTTTTCTTGTAGTTTCTTAAGTCTTCAAGAGTAGTGTTTTCTAAAAAAATAATGATATTTTTGAGATATCCATAAGAATTGCATGTTTGGAATATATACATCACCAAAGATTTCTCTAAATAGCAGAAAACAAATTACTTTCCAATATAAATACTACTATGTTTTTCATAAGATTAGCAACCTTCCTTATTCTTTCTTGTTTCAAATGCCAAATCCATTATATGTTTTTTCTCTAAAATCCTTCTTTAGGCCAACTATCAACTTCTTATTTTTCTACTTACTACAAGGTCTCATCTTTTCTCATTTGCAATAATGTGTTAGCTTGGACTATTGAAATAGGAGATTGTGATCTTAGGATACCATTATTTGCACGAATTTATGATGTTAGTTTTTGTAGCAGTGGATTGTAACACATTTGTTAAGGACCCTTTCATAATAGGATTGAAATGGTGACCTTTGTGGCCCGAACTCATGTTTCTATGCTCCCTGCCACCACAAGCCATTCTAAGGAGGCTCCTGAATCTAGTGTCAAGCAATGCAACTGATGTTAGATCTCTTCCTCTTGCAAGGATATATGTCTGTCTGGGTATTCGCAAAGGTGATGAATCCAATTCTATTCTTCTTCCACATTTTGTCTTGGGTGATTCATTATTTGCTTTCATTGTTTGAGAGTGAAGTGGCAAGAGACTGACTTTTTTTTATGAAATCTCTGCTTGTGTAATTCTGTCTTTGTAAGCATTGTTTTGTAGTCAAGCAAAGCCACAAAGGCTACAACAGGCAGTACAATGTACTCCTATTTAACTATTTATTAGAACAAGAAAATATCATACTACACCTTACTATTTCTCATTCCCTAGACATTCCTCAGATGCTGCTCATAGAATTCCAGAAGCTGTAACTTGACTCCATAAAACATGAAAGAAGCAGTGAAAAAGTACCTTTCATAGTTTAAAGGTTTTTTCTCGTTATTGAAAGATATCCAGAGGAGGTTAACACTTCAGAGCCTCACAAGCGCCTCATAAATTGCCCTTAAAGAGATGGTGTTCAGTTCTATGGTTCTTTAAGAATACCTACCAGTTTGACTCTGTCTTGAACATGTCGTCATTAGGTCCATTGGAGAAAAGGGTAACCATAAATGCAGAGTTTTTATAAATAGTGTTTCCTTCGAAATACAGAAGCGACAGAGATGAATTAGAACAGTGGAGGCATGAGAATACATAGCGTATCATCTTGTATGAGGTACAATTCAGTAGAATACTTTTTTCTTTTTTAATTACAGAAGTTTGGAAACTCTTACAGAATAGTCTGGATGTGGCCTAAAGAAGAAATTTTGTATGAAGGAAAGTTTGTATGAAATTGGAAATGTTTATCTTCACTTTCTCAAGCACATCATGGATTTTTCTTTAGGAAATCAGCCACATGATGACATGAGCTGTTGAGTTGTGACCAGGGTTCATGTACATGTTGAGCATGTCTATGATATGAGCGTCTTCCAGCACCTCTTTTTTGTCATCCAGCTGATCCATGAGCAACGAAAGAATGCTTGCTTCCTGCGGGTTTCCAGAAGCGCTGGTTGATCACGTCCTGGATAAGCTTGATGAGCTTTTGCCTCCGCCTGAAAATGAGAAAACGTCACAAAGCTATGTACAACGCATATGGCTTTGTTGTAGGCAGTGCCGAGGAAGTTGATGGGGAGAGCCTGAATGCCTTGGTTGACAATGTAGTAGAAGGAGAAAGTCTCTTCCATGTCGAGACTGGAGTCTTTCCCATATAAAATGTAGAGGACAGTTAGAAACGTTTCCTCCTGTGATGTTTTCCTTCCTGGCGTTAGAGAGTAACTGAGGATCAAACGAAACAAATCTCGCCATGTAAGATTGCACTGCCTGAGCAAAGCCAGGCTTGTACGAGAAGAGCAGCCCACGGAAAAGCTTCCCATTGATGGACGCTTCTAACATGTATCCGTAGTTGAATACGTCGCTTACTTTAGCCTCGAACATCTTCTCGCCTAGCGGCTGAACATGAGCTTGAAACTATGTAGCATGAGTTTGACAGGGAAAAATTGGAGAGATCCAAGTTTTTCTGCAGATACCTCCGTGAGATGAAACCAAGCTCTTGTCTGCATCCCGTTGCTTGTCTAGCACGAATGGCGTGGCATGATACTCTTGCCGCCTTCTCTTAAGTTCCTTACGCATGGATAGCTTTGGTTCTGATGGATCTTTCTCCCTCAGCATCTCTTCACAGAAAAATGGCAACCATATTGTCAAGAATGGCAGCAATGTCGATTAAAGAAGAAGCCAACCTGTGTCGAGGAAATACATGTCATCCAGAGCTTCAAGCTCTTCGTTACATCCCCCATAGAAGAATCATATGCCTCGCTCTGCGTCCACGGAATCTCCTGCAAGGGAGAAACGTGGAGAAGGCCCGGGACCAGAGGGATTCGAAGTCGCCCAAACACCAGTCGCTACAAAATAAGTAAAAGCCCCATGAGAGACTCACGTACTTAAGTCGAGAGTATGGACGTCATTGAATAGCTTGTGATCATAGGAGAATCCTCCAAACACGACGAGATACTTTCCATGGCTGATTGTTGTGTGCCCGGCTCTTAGCATCAGCTCCGCACCAGTCGTCTTTACCTCCCGCCATGCCATTGTTTCTGGAAACGCAAATGAATTCGCAAGTTTAAAACCAGCACCATGTATGTACCTGTGTCCAGAATATAAACATCGTTTAGATAGGCATTATCACCATCCTCGCCACCCATGACAACGAAACAGTTCTTATAGAAAGAGCAGGTATGGCTATCCTGAGGAATAGGCGAGACTCCAGTGGTAGAAATCTTCTTCCAGACAAAAGTATCTATAGGAAAAAAAACAAGTTTAGAAGAAAACAAGGAAAGGTAACAGGATTTTACTCGTGTTCAAAACATGAAGGTCGTTGTAGTACTCCTCCTCTGAGGGATCGCTGGATTTCCCACATCCCCCAAACACAAACAGGTTGTCACCAATGAGAGACGCGCTATGTCCTTCTCTCGAAGCAGGAACATCACCAAAAACGTCGGGTTTCCCCCAGGTGGTGGTAGCTGCATCAGATGATAAGAACAAGAAAAAAAAATGATAGAACTCAAAGCTTACCAGTATCCAAAACAAAGAGATCGTTGAGCAGGCTGGTTCCATTGGTACCACCAAACACATAGAGCTTAGACCCAACGGCCGTTGAGCTGTGGCTGTCTCGAGGAGAAGGGTGCGTTCCTTTCATCACAGGCTTGCTCCAGGTGTACGTCCCTGCGCGATCCCACCAGAAGAGTGAAGAACCTTGATTCTAGTCGTCGATGACAACGTGAATCCCCTTGTTGTCCGAGACGTTGTCCCTGTCGTGAGCTCCATCCACCATAGCCTCTTCGCCTTTCACTCCCAATCCTTGTCGCATTTCCGAGCAGAACACGTCGATCTGTCGAATGCACCTGCGCAGGCGGATGCCGGCGTTTTTTTTTTTCCAGCGTAAATTTGAGCCTGTTCTCGCTGATCATCGAGCACAACTATGACGACACAGAGAAAGCCGTGAGCCTCTCAAACCTTTGCAAATGGAGAAACAAACACAACCTCGTTGTAATAGGCTGGGACTTTCAGCCGCTGAGGATCGTTATCCAGTGCCGTTCCCAGGACTTCTTCCGGAGCTGTTCAAAAACGAACGCATTAGAGTTTTTTCTAGTGTCTAAATCAAAGGAACTCACTCAAAGGTGTTGGATAAGGAACAAATGTAGGTTGTGGCTTTTGGTAGGAGGTTTTTTGGTCCCTCGCCAGGCTCGACGCTACCGTTGCTGCAATTGGCCGGAATATCTTGGTCATCCTGGAACATCTCAAGTTAGAATCGCAGGGACGACAATAGGGAAGTGGAGACTCTTTTACCAGATGATATTCTCTGTTGAATACTTTTTCCATAAGTGTGACTCTTTTCTTCACGAACTCGGTAATTCTACGAACTCTACAAACAGAGACAAATCCCTTCTAGGGTTAGAAATAGGATAAATGAAACGTACCATCTACATATCAATCTGCAAAGCATACTTAAGCAAAGCATTCCCTCCCAGTCGATGGAGCGGTTGCAAATCTAGAATTGAAACAGTACCTCCCATATTGCCATCTTGGCCGTCTATATCAATTGTCACAGATTTGGACAGTCAGATTAATCGTATCTACCATAAGTAAAATTGAATATTCTTAAAATGGAATATGTGACGCCGATGCCAAAATAGCAACTTTAAATAAAGAGTTTGACTAGCAGGGAATCCAGCTCCGCTGGGATAGATAGGACATCTGTTACATTAGTGACATGAATCCTAGAGAATTTCTTTGTACACAATGTTTTTCATATAAATATTATGGTTCTGGGCATATGAGGAGGACTTTTTTTCCTTGCATATCATTATGTAGAAGTTCAGCTTTTATAACATTTGGTAGTGCCTTGGTTATAATTAGTTTAGTGCCATTAAAGAGGCCTTTTTTGGTGTCAATGTTGCGTAACAACATTACAATACATCCAATTTTTATCTGTAGCCTGTGTGGAGGCATTCCAGATGGTGTTACTGAGTTTAAAAATTCTACGGGATAGTCCAACATCTCTTCTTCCAAATCTGTTTCTACAATGTCAATGCTTCTGTATGTTGTTGTTCTGCCAGTCATTCTCGAAAGAACTTGGTCGTTCATTTATAGAGAGAGACCATTTAAATTCACGAGAATAGCTTTCTGCGATAGGTTTGGGTCATTTGGATGTATATGCTTCCCAAACACATTATCTATCATTTTTTCTCTGGATGTCAATATTAGAGGTAATTTTATAACTTCTTGGTTGAATCCTTGGAGGCTAGGTAGGTTACCATTTCCGAGCTTCACAAGCCATCTAGACCATTCCTTTTCTTCATAGTTCACCCTCATGAGGACTTTACAAGTTTCCACCATTTTGGTGAGGATTTCACGCTGTTTTTTCTTACAAGAAATCAATCCCTATGCAAAAGCATTCAAGATGTTGCACGAACTTGAGAATGAGATGTCTCTTTCATCACAAGAGATTGTCATGTACATCAAGGGAGAGAACACAATAAATTCTTGAAGATACAATGCACCGTGTTCAAATGAAATTGCTGCCATTTTTACAAATCCAAGCAGGAACCCACCATTTGACCGTAGTATAGCAGTCTATCCAAAGGAAGAATCAATGCAGGAAATATCAATCATTTCATCATGTTGTGACCCTATGATCTACCCAATGCTTTTTCCCAGTGGAGAGGACAGATGGTCAAATGATATAAAATACACAGATAACGGCAATACACTCAAACGTTGTAATGTCACAATGATGGAATTTTATCAACACAAATTTGCTATATGGGGCATATGTCACAATGGCATAAGAAGCATATGACATTCTACCTCTTGGTCTTCATTATTATAAACTATTATTTCTAAAGTTGTATCTAAACTGGGTAACTCAAATTCTAATAAGTTTCTATTGTGTTGTTGAAATAATATTGAGAGTTCTTTTAGTGCTTCATTGTATGCTACTTCAATATTATTAAGTCTGAATTAAATCTTCACTTTGCATGCATGACAGTTGGAACCTGATGATTTTGATCCTTTTATGTCAAACTGGTCTTTTCAAATACTAATAACAATTTTTTCATAGACTAATATTACTTTTATTCTATAAAGTCTAATCTACAACAATTTTTTCTTCATACATATGTCAAGCATATCTTCAGCATCATCGAATGGATTGTATTCGAATATTTCTTTAGCAAAGTCCGGACTAATTTGCAGCACAATGCCTTCAAGACGGATTGGCTTCCAGTTTTCCACCCCTCGCTTTGGATGGTACTCATTCATACTGTTAAGAAGCCGTTGAGCCATTTCCTTTTTTAGTTCCTTACACACGTCAAATGGAACGCCATATCCATAATGCAATGCCGAGAAGACATACGGATGGATTCCTCTTGTGTTTCTATCAAATACCTTTTGTACTTCTGCTTTGTTTGGTAGGCGATTCTTATTATACTTCTTGCCATTTAGAATCTGTGCTGTGAATACAGTCAATCCTGCATGTGATAGATTTTTTTTGTAAAAAAAAGTAGAGAACAAAGAGTATAACATCCACACTTACCTGGTGCAACATTCTTTCTCTTGTTGATTCTCTTGAACTGTTTGACTTTGCTTATATATGTTGTAATCTTTCTTGAGACCCCATCGCTGCTAGCAAAGCCATACATGTATTCTGATGGTGGACACCCAAGCACATCAAGTTTTCGTGCTTGACTGTCAGTCGGAAAGAATCTATCACGTTCACAAGGTTTCATTAACCATCTTTTCGAATCTAAATCTAAATTACCTTCCGTTTATCATGAAGTCACGACGGCATACACGCTTGATTCCTCTTTTCTCTATTTCACCTGTAGCCTTCATCCACTTCTCCATTTTTTCTGCTTCATTACTTCTATCTGCCATTTCCTCAAGAAAGTATTTATTAACCTAGGTACACATGAAAATGTTTTGAAGCTAGTCTTGTTGTAACTGTTTTTATAATAGAGAATATCTGTTTCATAAATTTAAATTCAAGGTCTTTTCATTACTATGGATAAACTTTAAGTGATTATCTTTCTTTGAACTACAGTCTAATCAATGCTAAAAAAATGCATCAGAACACCAGAGCATGAAGACTTAATGTTCAACGGATGCTGTGGGAGCTTAGTCTTTTCGTGGATAACACATAAATGCTAGATTGCTTTGGGTTTGAGAGATCTATGGCTTCCTTGTAGCTATGCTGGTCTAAGTCTTTTTGTTCTTGGTTTAATATGACGCTCTGACCAAATAGAAATATGTATTTAAAGATTTTTTAGATTTTGTGCAACAGTTTGACTATCACATTACACAAGTCCGCACATGGATCAACAGAGTCCTGGACATAGGCAGATAGGGCGTAATTCCAGTTTTTAGCAGGTATTCAGAAGCCAAATATAACTCTTTTAAGAAGTTGAGAAACTCCATCAAGTCCTTGTGGTCGCTTCCTCACAGGATTAACGACGTCCACCATGGCCTCTTCTCTGATATCACTGTAGTTTCTGCGTGCTAGCTTCGTGTAGAAAAATGGATAGCCCAGTTCTGCTTCAGTGACATTATCTTTGGGATTGAACTGAAGTGCCTTAAAATGCTATCCTGGAACAACATGCGTGACAATGTATAGCAGTAAAGAGTTGTACCTTTGCAACCAAAATAATCAGACAACAGAGCTTCCTGAATTGGCCAAATCCGTTTGGCAGACAAAACGCAGTGGTATCAGGTTATTATTTCGAAATGCAACAAATATCTGGTTCAAATCTCTCCTTTTGATTCTTTGTTGTGATTTTCACCAAGACCGCATACTGACAATACTGAATTTCTCGAGCAGCATAAAAACCAAGAACAAGTAAACAATATCTCACAATTTATTATCTGACATTGGAGTTTTCTCTGGTGCAATGCAAGAACAGAAACTATGTATTGGTGTTTTATTGTAGCCATTTGTTCTTACACTTCGGAACTTGCGATGAGAACACGGAAGAGCACTTGGTGATCCCCTGAGGAGTCTTT